CGCCGCCCCCCCCCCACGCGCCGTTCGTTCCCCGAGGGCGGCGGAGGAGGAGGAGGAGGAGGCGGCGGAGGCGGGGCCGGCGCGCGGAGAGAGAGAGCTCGTCGGAGGCGCCGCCCTCCCTCCCTCCCTCCCATCATGGCGGGCCCGGCGGCGTCGCTCCGCGCGGAGGGGATCCAGAAGCAGGTCGTGCGGGAGGGCCGCGGGGAGGCCCCCGACTACCGGGACGGGACCAAGGTAGTGGCCAGGCCGCCGCCGCCTCACGGAACGGGGAGAGGGGGGAGCGCATGCGCGGAGGATCCGAGCCGGTGACAGGCCCTCCGGCGAGGCGGGGGTGGGGGGCTCGGTTTCCCTCTCGCCTCGGGAGGGGCGGTTGGCCGGCCCCCCAGGAGAGTCGGGTCGGGTCGGGGGCGCGGCCTCCTTGGGCCCGGGGGCGGAGCCACTGCCGCGGAGCGGGGCGGGCGGTTCTCCACGGTCTCCCCCCCCCCCGGGGGCTTGGGGGCCCGCGCGTGCCGGGCTGAGGGCGCCTCGTGGCAACGCGCAGTCGAGCGGGTGGCCCTTTCCCCGGCGAGGCCGGACTGAGGCGCCTCCGCGAGGGAGGGGGTGGCCGCTGGCCAAACGGATGCCGCTCAGGGGTTAGCGTTGCCAGCCTCCAGGTGGGGCCTGGGGATCCCCCGCTTTCACCACTGATCCCCGGCTGAAAGAGGTCAGCCGCCCTGGAGGAAATGGCTGCTCTGAAGGGTGGACTCTGAGGCATTGGGCCATGCTCAGGCCCCTCCCCTCCCCAAACCACGCCCTCTCCTGGCTCCACCCCCAAAGTCTCCAGGCATTTTCCAACCAGGACCTGGCAACCTTATCAGGGGTCCAGGGGCAGGCCCCAGGAAATGACCCCCATTTTAAACCCGAAATATTTCTATTAAATCACTGGGATACAGACGTGGATGATAGAAATAAGGATCGGCGGTCTGACAATAGCCTCTTGTTGGAAATCACCTCGATCTCCTTCATTATCCGCTTGGCACCAGAAAGTGTGGGGACAATTTGTGATGGCTAAGGTTACTCAGGGGTCATTTCCTGCGGGAGCACACAGGAACGGAGCTCCGGCAGTAAGGATCCCAGGGGGCGGGCACATGCAACAAGCCCCGCCCCCTGCTCCCAGCAGCCCTCAGTCCCGCTTGTTTCTACTGCCAGATTATGTGGATTAATCTGTATGCTATTAATGAGAACCATTTAATCCAGGGGAGATCCTGTTTAATCCACAGCTATGGATAACATGGTTTACAACTCCCAATTGCTTATACTTGGGGGTAGATGATGTTCTGGGGGTAGATGCTGTGCTTTCCTTGTGATGCTACTGTTTGAAGTAGAACACGAAACACACAAAAGATGCCCAAACACAGCTGTGAGAACACACAGAACCTCTAAACCTGCCCTAGGACCTGCAAACCTGCTCCTGCCCACTCCCTTGGCCTCAGCAACCACTGTGTCCATCCCCTTCTGACTCGACTAGTGGAACCCGCTGGAATCCCAGAAGTCCTTCATTTCATGCGGTGGCCGCGGAAGGGGGCTGGTGGTGGTGCCGGGGAAGGAGGCAGGAGAGTAGTGAGGCCGTCACACTGTCTGCACTGTCTCCATCACCTCCGAAGGAGGCTTCCAGCTCCGAACGTTCCTCGGCATAAAACGGACTTCCTGCGCACAGAAACCTCAGGGAGGCAGGGGCTTGCGCAGTAGCTCAAGCCCCTGCCTCCCTGAGGTTTCTGTGCGCAGGAAGTCCGTTTTATGCCGAGGAACGTTCGGAGCTGGAAGCCTCCTTCGGAGGTGATGGAGACAGTGCAGACAGTGTGACGGCCTCACTACTCTCCTGCCTCCTTCCCCGGCACCACCACCAGCCCCCTTCCGCGGCCACCGCATGAAATGAAGGACTTCTGGGATTCCAGCGGGTTCCACTAGTCGAGTCAGAAGGGGATGGACACAGTGGTTGCTGAGGCCAAGGGAGTGGGCAGGAGCAGGTTTGCAGGTCCTAGGGCAGGTTTAGAGGTTCTGTGTGTTCTCACAGCTGTGTTTGGGCATCTTTTGTGTGTTTCGTGTTCTACTTCAAACAGTAGCATCACAAGGAAAGCACAGCATCTACCCCCAGAACATCATCTACCCCCAAGTATAAGCAATTGGGAGTTGTAAACCATGTTATCCATAGCTGTGGATTAAACAGGATCTCCCCTGGATTAAATGGTTCTCATTAATAGCATACAGATTAATCCACATAATCTGGCAGTAGAAACAAGCGGCACATGATTATTATTTTTTTCACAGTGCAGCAGTAATTAGAGAAGCCAGTTTTTCTTTTCAAGCTCAGCTGTCTGCAATTCTGAATTTCTGCATTAACTCTTAAATCTAATAGATCTTCTAAATCTGCTGGGAAAGGACCTTCTCAGTCATGGCAATAAAGCCCTGGAATCTTTTCCTTTGCTTCTGAGCACCTTAATTATTCCAGCTAGGCTGCGATCATACGCACAATTAGACCTGACATAGGCGTGAATCCCGGGTGGATGTAAAGGGTGTGATCAGACAACAACATCTGGGAAGCGCCCCGTAGCCGTCGGCAGCCCATTCTGCTCTGCTGCAGAAGCAGAGTTAAAAGACACCGGGGAAAATCCGGTAGTAAACGGGTTGCAACGGGCCACGGACAGACTTTCTTGTCACTCACACCCTAGTCTTTACTTGTTCCAGGAGTACTTATATCTTTTGGGCAAGTTGTTTGTGAGACTTTTGGGCAAGTTGTTTGTGAGACTTGCTGCTTAGGCTGTATACTCACAGGCATGAGTGGATAGATGAGCTGATCTGTTGTTTTGATTTAAATATATATATATATTTGCAGCAGGGTTGAGTTAAGTTATACTGACAAATGGGAATGAATTTCATTATCCACAAACTTGTGCCTTTACCAACTCCACAGTTCATCGTTTCAGGGTCTGTTAGTTTGTGTACTCTGACATGGGAGAGGCTGTATGGTGGAGGAGTTGGTGTTCAACTAGGATCTGCATTCTGCCATGGAGCTCCCTTGGTGTCCTTGGGCCGGTTTCGCTGAACCTAACCTTCTTCACAGTGTTACAAAACAGAGAAGGGGAGGATCATGCCCTCCACCCGGAACTCTTTGGAGGAAGAGTGGGATGCAAATAAAATAGACTTGTTAGCAGAGGTCATTTCGGGGGGGAACGCAGTTCCCCCGGGTGAGGTAAGGGGGCGGGGCACATGACGAAGCCCCACCCCCTGCTTCCGGCCACCCCGCTTCCGGCCCTCATTCAGCCAGGAGGAGGCAGGAGAAGAGGGAGGGTAAGTTGCTTCCTCCCTGCCTCTCCCCACCCCTGCCTGCCTGGGGCCAGGGAGGGCCTTGGCGGGGCTTCCTCGCACTCCCGCCAGCCTTGCAGGTCCACCGCCGGGCCCCCAACACTTCCAGTGATGTCAGGGGGTGTGGCATATGCTAATGAGTTATGCTAATGAGTTCCCCTAGCTCTTTTTCTACGAAATGACCCCTGCTTGTTAGCATAGTGGACTGCCATATTGGAAGCTAGGTTGACCTCTGTGCTAGTGGGGATGGCATGAAACTCCAGTTCTACACCTCTGGGCCTTCATCACCATCGTACACACTGATCACTTGACGCCGCTATTCCACTGTGCCTGGAAAAGTAGCCGCAGACAGTGTGGGGGTTCCCTCATTCAACAGTTCTGCCTCCTGTCCTCTTCAGGCCACCTTCCATTACCGCACCCTGCTGTGTAGCCCAGACCAGCAGGTCTTAGATGACAGTCGTACAAGGGGCAAACCCATGGAGCTCATCATCGGCAAGAAGTTCAAGCTGCCTGTCTGGGAAACCATCTTGTGCACCATGCGGGAGGGAGAGCTGGCTGAGTTCTTGTGTGACACAAAGGTAATTTCCACTTTGTTGTTGTTGTTGTTCAGTCGCACAGTCGGATCCGACTCTTTGTGACCCCATGGACCAGATCACACCAGGCCTTCCTGTCTTCCGCCGTCCTCTGAAGTTGGCTCACTACTGTATGAGAAACAAGTTGGGTGATCTTGTGTCTAGATGGTCATTTTGTCTCAGTTTCCCAAGTATCAAATAATAGTGACCTGTTTCACAGTATTCCTGTGAGAACGGATGCCATGAAGGGTTTGCACAGCAAATGCATTGAATCCAACATTGAATGGGCTGCTTCCCACACAAAGTGCTGTAAAACTTGAATGTAACTCCACAGAAGCACAAAATTCGATTTTAGTCATTTAACAGTCCAAAAACCTTAATTTATATTTTAAAAAATCAGTTTTGTAGCTTAAAAGTGTGAAAAGTATATGGCAATGTGTGAGAAGATCTCAGGGTTGAAATAATGAGATTTTTTTTAATTCAAATTAAAAGCTGTTTTATGAGAACACTCATAAAATCCCAGAATGGTATTTGTTGACCCCTATTTATTAGCTGCCCTGAACACAGAAAGGGTGGGACCTAGATAAAGAAAGAAAGCCAGTCCCCCTTTTCTATGTCAGATCCAGGATAGGAGAGTTTGGGATAGTGCAGCTTGGCTGTCACCTAGGAGGTCCTTCATGGCCTTGGTCTCTCATATCTGCTGCCTTTATTCTCCACCATGATTAGGGCCTCCTGCTGGTGCCACCCTACCAATGGGCAAAATCAACGATTGCCCATACCTGTGCATTCTCTGAGGTGGCCTCCATGTTGTGGAATGGCCTTGCCCGAGGAGGTCAGGGTGGCTCCCACACTCCTGGCATTTGGCAAACTATGTAAAACTGAATGATTCAGGAGGGCTTTTCTTACACAGGCAGTAGGACTGTACCATAATGAAATGGCTCAGAAAGGTGTTTTGGTAAAGGGATAGGGACTGTGGGCTATACTCTGTAGTATGTACTGTCTGTTGGTGTAAGTATGATCCCACTCTATAATTTCTGCATCGTTTAGTGTGTCATGTTAGTGCTTACGCTTTGATTCAACTCCATTCAGATTTCTGCAACCCAGATTTTGTTGTATTGTTTATTAGATGTCTTGTTCTATCGATCCTATTGACCTATAGTGTGTAATTTGCCTTGAGTCTCTGTAATGTGAATAAAAAATTTTTTGGCACCAAAGTAACTTAAACTCAGCACTAAGAAAATTAAGTCAGTTGCAAATCAAAAATACTTTATACTTTTGCTCAATTTATCCCACTTCTCCAAGTCCTGGGGGCAAGGAAACTCTTTGAAATCCTGCACAATCACATTCTTTCAACCCTTTAAAGAACCCTGCTTAATGATTGGCAGGTTCATACAGGAGACAGTGGTCCTCTAAATACTCTGGATTCTGATATCATTTTGGGCTTTAGGAGAAAGAACCAATATCTTGAATTGTGTCTGAAAGTGAATTAGCAGAGAAGCAGTCCTTCTTTCCAGCACAGTGTACCACTTCTAAAGCAGTTCTCTTCCTTCCTGAGCAAACAGTTTTCCCTGAAAGAGGTTCTTCTCCCCCAACAAGGGCTGTATTTGTGACCCCCCCCATTTTTTGTATTACCCAGCACGTAGTGTTATACCCAACGGTGTCGAAGAGCTTGAGAAACATTGCAGCAGGGAAAGACCCATTGGAGGGGCAGCGGCACTGCTGTGGCATCGCTCAGATGCATGAGCATCACTCGCTGGGTTACCCGGACCTTGATGAACTCCAGCAGAACCCTCAGCCTCTCATCTTTGCCATCGAGATGCTCAAGGTGAGGGAATGGAGAGGACCCTTGGGACTGACAAACCACAACAGGGATGGGACTGGGTTTACTTGGGAATCTCTTTTGTGTGGGTGTAAGAATGGTGCAGGAGGGAGAGATGGGTGTCCATCAAGGGACAAGATAGATGACTGCACTCTCTCTTGGTCTCTGGGTGAGTACCAGTTATGTTTCTGCTATCTTTTTAAAGGGGCCGAGTTGCAAGTAGAGAGGGGAAGTAGCTTTTCTGTGGTAGTGCAGAGGTGAAGAAGAAACTTTATGGGTTAATGGCAGCCCTCATGTTGGCATTCCTTGTCCTCTAACTTTTGAGTCTCATTCTGAGACGTCTTTCCCTCTCTAAGCTGCCCCAGCAGAGGGTTAATGGTCAGGTTGGTTCTTTTGTGTGTGTGTGGGAGGGGGGGTCAGGTTGGTTCTTGAGATGTTCTTAACTTTTTTTGCCCCCGTGGTCTGACCATTGTTCCTCTGAAGGTGGAGGGCCCAGGCTCCTATCGCCAGGATCCGTGGGCCATGTCAGACGAGGAGAAGATGGCGGCTGTGCCCTTGATCCATCAGGAGGGCAATGAGCTCTACAAGCAAGGCAAGGTGCAGGAGGCTGCGGCCAAGTACTACGACGCCATCGCTTGCCTCAAGAACCTGCAGATGAAGGTGAGTGAAGGCACGCTGGGCCTGCTGCACCCTTTGTTGAGATGCTCATGGGGATAAATGTAAATTGATTGTGCGGGTTGTCAATTCTAGATGAATGAGGAGTCCCTTCTCGCCTGCCTCGGATATAGGGGTGGGTTGGCAAGTTGTGTGAACAACCATGAATGGTTAACACAGAGAAAGAGACGGAGAACAGCTCAGGCTAGCACAGCTCCCTCGTCCCTCAGCCAGCACTGGGCCAGTGGCAGAGCTTCCAGGAGGGCCTCCCTTTGCCTCCGCTTGCAGACCACCACCACCCCATGCCAGCAGCAGGAAGCCAGGCTGCCAAGCCAGGTGTGCCAGCCTGGCCCAGCATCTCTCTGGCACTCTCCGTTTGCCTTAACCCAGAGGTTTCGCTCCTCCGGTCATCAGGGACGGGACTCCTGCACTCTGGCATAACTTCTGGCAGGGACAGCTTTTCTCGCTCCGGCAGCAGGATGAAGTGAGGACCTGTCAAAATGGTCTCTTTGGCAGTACTGTGAAACCGATAGCAGCCCAGTGCCACCGGGTGTCTGGTTGCAGAAAGTCCTTTTTCCTTGCACAGCGTTTGCAGGGACTTTGGGCGCCAGATTGGATAGGATGGCCGTAGTCTGGTGGTGTGGTGAACTAAGTGTGGTGATGAATCCCTATAAAGTGGCAAGTTCCACATAGACAGATGTGGGAAGGGAGCGGAACCTCTGACCCACTTGCACTTCTCCTTCGGAAGCTACATTTTGATCTCCCCCGTTTTTCCTTCTCTCGGTTAGGCAAGGGTATCTCCACGGTGGCGGTATCTAGTGTAGCAGAGTCACACCTACCAGCCATCTCCCAAAGCAAGTGGTTGTTACATCGCTACTGCACAAAGTCTGCTTATCCTTGGGCAGGAGTGCCTGTGTGCTCTGGAGCTTCTCTGCAAGAGGCCAGCTACCTCCAGCCCAGGCCCTTCTGTAGCGGCCTTATTTAGAAGAGAGAGCAGCCTCTCCCCGGATGCTCCTGCCCCCCCCCTTGATCCCCCTCCTTTTCGGAGTGCTTAGCTCCAGCTCCAACCCACCCCTGGCATCCTTCAGCTTGGCTTCTGCTCTGACCACATCCTACGGGTCCTTGGCCTGACTTCCAGGCTGGCCCACAGCCTGCTGGCCCCGATGGGCTGTGTTGGCTATGACTAAGCTGTGTACATTTTGTGTCAGTGCCGTCTTAGCTGGGCTAACATTGCCCACGGGCTCCGAGACTGGATGTTACCATGCAGGAGAAGAAGAGCCGTGAACAAAAGTGGGTGTGGAGGTGTGGAGAAGGCTTTGCTTCTCCTTCCCATCGGCCTGTGCCACACACAGCCACTCGTTGATGGGGAGCCCGCAGTCACCCTCGTGCCAGTCTTCACATGTTCTCATGGACGGGGGACACCTTGCAAGGAGCCAGTTGTGCCTCATGTTGCTTCTGCCGTCTTAGGAGCAGCCAGGATCCCTGGATTGGATACAGCTGGACCAACAGATCACCCCCTTACTGCTAAATTACTGCCAGTGTAAGCTGCTGAGTGAGGAATACTATGAGGTGCTGGATCACTGCTCTTCCATTCTCAACAAATACGAAGGTAAGGCATCGGACTGACTGTACAGCTGTGGACAAAACGGAAAGGAGTCACAATGCTGGATGGATTAATATAGGAGATTGGCTGGGAGGCTGAAAGGACTGCCTGAGCCCTACGGGGGAGGGCGGGGTATAAATCTGATTAATAAATACTACATAATAGGTCAGAAGAGCCTTTTTGTGCTATGCCGGTTGTAGAGTCTCCGGTAGAGGACTGGAAGAACCCCGGGGTGTGACCAGGCCGGGCTGTGTGAGGTGTGTGGAGCCAGCATTCACGACTCTAAGGCTTGCTGTCTGTCTCCACAGATAACGTCAAGGCCTACTTCAAGAGAGCCAAGGCACACGCAGCTGTTTGGAATGCGGCTGAAGCTCAGGCTGACTTTGCCAAAGTGTTGCAGCTGGATCCGTCGCTGGGGCCTGTGGTTGCACGGGAGCTGCGCAGCCTGGAAAGCCGCTTGCGTCAGAAGGAGGACGAGGACAAGGCCCGTTTCAAAGGCATCTTCTCCTAGTGGCCACACTGCAGCCCTCTGTCCCTCGGAGGGACAGCTCGGGCTTTGCGATCAGTACCCAAGTGCAAGACAGCATAACTGGACTGTGTGGTTCTTTGACAGGGTCAGCAGGTACTTACTGTCTGCAGAGATGCTGGAGGAGCTGGCCTTTCTTGTCAACCCATTTCATGTCATCTTTGTGCAAACAGTCCAGTTTGCTGCTGCCAAAGGAATCAGGGGTAGGGGCAGGCGAAGTCTTTCTGATTACCCAAGTCAAAGGAGGCAGACAAAGCTTGCTGAGGGGGTGTCTGCCAGCACTGATGGCTGCCTCTGTGTTACCCCCAGAAGAGAGTATTTACCCTGTTGCACCACGCTCAGTGCCTTTCCCCCCCCCGTTAGCCATGGAGAGGGAACCTTTACTTGTTCTGGAGTTCCTTTCTGTGCAGAAGCTTCCCCTTCTGCTGTTTGGAAGCAGGAAAGCTCTGGCTCCTCTCCATCTCTGCAGTCATTTTCTCCTTTGGCCACAAGACTGTGTGTCTAAGCTGAGGTGCCAGCAGGAGGCATGGGGTGTGTGTGACCCTGTGGGGTGTGCAGAAGTGACCAGTGCTCCTTCGTGGCACTTCCTCCCCTCACCACTCCCCCCTCTGGGTGACTAGTAGGAGTTTCGCAGTGCTTAGCCCACTGCTGCCAACACGTGCATGTGCCCACAGATACGAGTGTGTGCCAGCTTTCAGTGGGTGTGCCAGCTTCTAGGTTATGTTGCCCGTTTCTGAGTCATCGCTGTCTGGGAGGGTGCCCTGGTACCCAGATGACGACTCCTTTGTGGAGGAAGCTTAGGCAGTGTCTTCATGCTGGGTAAGGTGGTAAAGCAAAAGGGCAGGTGCTGCGGTCAAGCGGAGTCCAGCAGGTCTTGTTTGAGGAAAAGCACCCATCAGAATTGTTGCTTCTTAGCCCAGGCAGGGGTGGCTGCATTGACCACCCTTGCCACGAACCGTTAAAGAGTTCTGCATTTCGAGTATGGTTTTTTAAATGATTTTAGCCCGTGGAGGATGACACTGGTGGGTGGTTCCACGTTCAGGAGCCCCTGTCCAACACCAGCTACTTAATTCCCTGATGTGATGAGAACTGTCAGTGTTCCCTCTTGTTGCTCGAAGTTTTTTTTTTAATCTGGTTGCCATTGCAGATCCAGGGCTGGAAGGAGCTGCAGTAGTTGAGGTTTCTTCACTGAGCCTCTCACTTGTCGTTTGGGCCTTTGGTGCTCAAAGGAGAGAAGAGTCCTCTGTGTTTTTTGGTAACTGAAGTGCCTCCAGCAGCAAAGGTGGCACAGTGGTCAGGAACACCAACAGACTTCAGTCTTTTCTTCCCTTGTCTGAATTCAGGCCTTAGGAGCAGACAGCAAAGGAAGGTTCCCGTAGGTATCCAAAGCACGTGTGCCAAGTGATGCGTTCAGTAGTACATTCCTCTCTCCCTCCAAGGTTAGTGGTGCTAAGGGTGCTACAGGATCTCCCTCTCCCATGCTTCCTCTGAAATCTCAGCCACATGGAACAACTCAGATGTTTTCCACACTAGTGGTCCTTTTTGTCCCAGTGGCTCATCAAAGGCCAAGAAGGGAGCAGGGGAACAGTGCTCAGTAGAGGCATCCTCTTCCCTGTCATCGTCAGCTGCTAAGGAGGTTTCAGTGATAGAATCATTTTCTCTGTAGCAAAATATGGTGGGAATTTCACACAGATGCAGTGTTTTCTCTTTTGGAAACTGGGCCTAAGAGAAACAGGGTTGCTGACAAGGTTAGAATGCGAAGGCCATTTGCCCAGCGCATTCCTCAGTAGGGAAGGCCCCTGCCCCCGTCCACTGAGAACTGCTTACATGCTGAAAGGGTGTGGATCACCCTTTTGCATACGGTCCAATACCCACACATTGTTGGGAGGGGAGCCACATTGGCCAGTTGGGGGATGCTGAATTGACTGTGGAGACTGCCTGCTTGGCTGGTCACATGTTGTGGGGAAGGGATGATTCCAGGCTCGCTCTTCTTCGTTTAACAGGTGAGGAGGGCTGTCAGAAAGGACAGTAGTGATCAAGATGGTGTTTGGGGCAGCTTCACTTATCGCAGTGGTGATCTTAGGGGCGCTTGTTTCAGGTATTCTGTTTCCCCTGCCACACACATACATGCACATACACACACACCTTTCCTCTGCATAGTTCACAGCCTCCCCACCCCCCGGGGGGATTAATTTTTCAAGCAGTATGCCCCATCCCCTTCCACAGTCCTTTCCGCTTCTGCTGCAGGTATTCCCTCGCAACTCTTTCGGGTCAGGCCTGATGTCAGATTTCTGCCTTGATGGACCTGTTCTCTGTTGCACCAGTGCAGAAGGCCTGAGCTGCTGCTTCCATATTGTTGAGCGTAGACAGACACCCTTTCCCTGCCTTGTCCGGCCACTTCAGCCTTGGGCGGTCAGAGGTGGGGGGAGGACGGTGTTGAGGTCAAGTGGGTGAGAATGGACAGTCCTGTGGCAAATCTGTCTCAAGAGACAGAAGTGTTAAACCAGCTGAAAGTTCCAGAGGCATAAGGTATTGGGACCAGGAGGGGAAGAAGGAAATGACTGCTTCCGCCCTCTCCCTACATGACCCTGCTCCCAGCACTTCCGTGCAGCTTTGACCAGCCACACTGGGACTTTAAGGAGCCTAGTTCCTCCCAATGGTTCAGGGACACAGATGGCTGTTTCCATGTTGTATGAATAAAGCAAGCTTACTTTTAAAAACTGGCTCAATCCAACCAGCATTAATCATTTCTCAGCTGCATTGAGTTCAAGGGGAGAGAGTGAAGCAGAAGACCTGCATACACAGGCTGAACTTGTGTCACTGAGAGCTATGAGACTTAAGGATGCTGAACATAAGAGTGTCCGAACATTTTTGTAGAGTAAAGCTCTGTCATGTGCAGCAGCCCCCTCGGAGCAGCAAAATGGGACCTTCTCCCTGCCAGCTCACCCACAACTTACCACCAGTGCTGTCTGCCATCTGATCCACTGTTTGCGAGATGGAACAGCTACTGCCCCTGTGTGCTACAGAACTGTTGGGAAACACAAAAGCTCATTGGACAGTGTCACAGCTTCGCTTAAGCAGCCACCAAGCTAAGTACCTGCAGTGCTGTTTGCTGTGAGCCTTTTTTTAGTAGTGTGCTTCAGTAGCTTCTAGAGCAGGGCTGTGGCGATATGAGGTTCATAAATATAGCAGTGCTTTTATCTGGGCTGACAAATACAACATGCATGTATGTAACACCCCTTCCCCCCCCAAGTGTGTTAACTCTTTCAGTGGATGTATTACCTTTTCCTCTCAAATATATCTTCGAATGCTAGTATGCATGATTTAAAAACAATACATGTTCCCACCTCTGTATTCGTGTAAAGTAGACTATTCAGTTTGGGGTTTTGTTGGGCTGGGCAGGGATCCGAACAGAGCATGGAACAGCAGAAGTGGTCACAATATGCTTTTGTGCTTGAGCAGCTTCCATTTATTCCAGTGGGTTTTGGGCAGCATGACTTGTCTAAATAACTATGTATTCAAATCAAAACCCTACTATCCAGAGTCCTCTTTAGGGAGAATGATGGGAGATATCACAGAGCTGTGTATAACAGATTACAAACGCAAGCACTGTAACAAAAGGCTTTTGCTACCTTTGTAATGATTAGAAGTGCATTTACTTTAGAGCTAGAAAAGTGGGCCTGCTTTTGTGGAGACCCCATATCTGTGTGTGTGTGTGTATTGTCAGTCTCACTTGGCGAACACCTGGACATTCTGTGAGCGCAGATCACTTACTGCAAGTGCAAATCAAGGGCAGAATGCAAGCTTGTCCAACTGTAATAGCCTTTGGGAAATGAAAACTAAAGCCAAACGAAGCTTCTCATCTGTGTTTCTGGTTCATAGGTATAGCCGGGTTTTTTTGTTAATATAAGAATCAAAAGATTTAAAAGTAGCAATTTTGAAATTGTCCTAATGTCCGAGTAGCAGAGGGTGGAAGGCTGAAAAAAATGGCAGTGCTTCTCCAGGTCCATTTTGATACCACCATTGAGTTGCCATTGATAACAAAATTCATAATTTTCTTTCCCAAGAATGAAAACATGCAATTAGGTAAGGGGTGGGTGTAATCACTGAAACGTTTTTGCACACATTCTGTATTCTATTCAGACTCTTGAACAGGGCTGCTGTTAATCCAGTCAGAAATAAAGATTATACCTATGATAAAGAAAGCTTAACGTACTGTTAAATTGATATTTCTTACAGGCCGGTCTCCTTGCTTCTTTCCGTTATAGAGCAGAAACATTACAGAACAGGCTGCAAAGGAAGGGAGCCCTTTTTGAACTATGGGGACTAAGGAAAAGACCCTCCAGCGGGTTGAGGCCAATGGGCAGCCTATGGGCTAAAGCAGTCCCATGAAGGATTTTTCCCTGCCAAATTTTAATCTGTTTGTGGTAAATAGTTTCGCCAGAGTCTTGCCAATTTAGATTTGTTTTTGAACGTTGTGACAAGCAGAGGTTGTAGAATCAGAGTCGGAAAGGATCCTGTATGAAGCCATCTAGTCTAACTGACCCCTCCTCAGTGCGGGAATCCCAAAGGTAGAGTATTCCTGCAGACCTCCAGCACGGGAGGGCACCCTCATCCCCAAATACTTAATTCCAGTGTCAAATCTTTCTCATCATTAGGAAGTTCCACCTTATCTCCAGCTGAAATCCCCCATCCCCCGATTCATGTTTAAGCACAGGTCCTGAAATAAGGCATTTTTTTCCCTGAACTGGGTCTAGTTCAATGAGCTACCTCTGCCGGCTGATAACATAACAGGGATGGATGGCAGCTGTTACACAGGAAAGACTCAGTGCAGCACAAACTAAGCCAGTGAGTGCAGACCTGACACCAAGGAAAATATGCAATCCAATAATTTATTAAACCTTCATCTTGTAAAGCCAGTTACAAATTAAAACAACAACAACAAAAGAGCAGAAAGACATCTGCAATAGTATTAATGGAAGTTACATTCCCAGTTGGGTTCAAGCTGCCTGCAGCCACCCATGAGACCAGGACACAGCAGTAGTGCAGGGCCAGGGATGGGAGTGGGTGGGATGGACTAGGAAGGCTCTTGTCTGTGTCTCAGACCACACAGGGAGGATCAAGTCCCCATTCCACTTCTGTAACCTGGTAAGGACAGAGAAAGGGGTCTTAATGTGACTCAGACCAAGGTCTTAAGGCAATATTTCCCCATCACAGTGAGATGAGACATAAAAGTGAGAGGAGATGCTTCTGTCCAGCCTGGCTTATGCAACTACACAACATGCACAGGATAGTTGGGTGTAGGTCTGTACTTGCCACAACAAGGAGGGATTGACTGCGGCACTGAGGTGGTGTGTGAACTTCAGTAATGAAGGTGATAAAAGATGTGTCCCATTTCCTCAGACAGGTACAGTCCTATTCTATTTGCATTCTTGGGGAGAATGGGAGGGGTGGGTAGTTCCCTGATTGGAGAAATTCTTTGTCGAGGACCATTTCCTGTGACAAAAAGGCTCTTTGGGTTCTACTGGAGGAGGATGGAAGGTACATTAAAAATCCAAGGTGGCCTGATAGAGGACTGGAGGTGGCAGATGGCTCTTTCTATTGGGAGTTCTAGAAGGGAACTGCTTCACACGTTTGCCTAAAGAAGGGAATGGTGATGCTTTTGTACTATGGCAGAAGGGCTGTACGTACTCCACTGTCACATCCCAGGGATGCAAAGCTTGGCCGTCGGCACAATAATCAGAATCCTGAGAATCCAAGGTGTCAGTAATTTCTGGAATGCTTGAGAACACCTGATAAAATCTCAGAAGCAAGGGAATCGGCTGAGCAGGATTTCCAGTGGTGGAGGCAGGACTTTCACACTCTGCATAGCCCTGTTGCCTTTTCCTATGACAGACAGGGTGCACAGTCAACCATGCAAAATAAGTGCACTTATTTTACATGTGTTGGGTTTCAGAATTCCCCCCCCCCCTTGGGAAGGAGTCTTGTTTATTTTGCTGCAGAATTTTTTAATGCAGAGCATAAGCAATCCATTGATTCTAAAGCAAACCGAAGGGATCAAAAGGAACTTACTACAGGAGAAGTCTTATTCATCCGGCCTCTATTTGACTCCCAGTTTGGAAGTGACGGCAGCAGCAGCAGCACAGAAAACAACCTTTGCAGAAGGATTAAGGCCAGCAGCACAGGCCAGCCCAAACTCCTGGCACAGAGCCACCAGTGGAGGAGGCGGCACAGAAGTCACCACATATCCCCTCTTTGCAGCTGGAGACACACAAACCTGCCCGTGATTCTTCTCCCCTGACCAGGCAAATGGATTTTTACTGTAAGCAGCCCCTTTCCTAACTATGCACCATAAGAAATCACCTCTGCAGTGATCTTGGAAGAGCAGATCCAGGGAAGCCCAAGTCTTGGGACAGCTGGTGCTTTTCTTGAAGCTCTTGCTTTAAGCCTTGGTGTGACTCTCCACTAACAGCAACCAAGAACCAGACACTTCAGCCATAGTCGCTTGTGATCTGGTTCCATCTGAACCCCCCAGGGATGGTAATTCTGACAACGTAAGGGCCCCACAGAGAGTATCCCAACAGAGGTTTATTCAGTAGTAGCACCTGATCCCTGAGGGGACACCACTCAAATTGAGGCAACTCAGTCTTTGCCCCTGCGAAGCTTGGCTGAAAAACTATCTGGAGCCCATCGTCTCAAGTGTAGTGTAGAAATCTGGCTTGTTGCGTGGCAGCAGCACCTTAGTGACTCCCATCTGTCCACCTTTTCTTTCCTGCTGCTTTTATTGCACAAAATGGTGTCTAGAGCTCTCTGAGAAAGGTGGCAATGTTTGCTCCTGGGGGGGGGGGTTCTCTGTGCCCCCGCAACAGTTTTCCTCACAGGAGAGAACCCAAAAGGACGTCCAGCCTCAAATGGCCTAGGGACTGCTAACTACAGTATTCCTGGTTATGCTGTTGGCTGTCCCTGGGGACACTCTGGACCAGTCCTGTTTTGCCTCTGTCAGGCAACCTGATGGAAGGGTTTTGTTTTTATAAAGAAGGAGCTTTGCTACAGATGCAGCCGGGACGTGGCGTGGGTCTTCCCCAAAGGGTCCATTCAGCAGCCTCATCACCTTGTCCAGATACTTGCACGGCTGTCCAGGCTGGCAGCTGACTTGATGCTGCAGCACTTCTTCACAATCATGTTGATGTAGGCTCTCATGATCTTAATGATCTCTCCCACCTGACAAAATGAGAGGAACAGACAGTCACCCACATGGCTGCATGCTCCGATAACGCCCCCAAAGCAGGCGGGATGTAAATCTGTACACAGTGAGAGTCTGGGCTGTAAAGACAGGGCTGCAATGTCATAAGAACATAAGAACATCATAGATGCCAATGTTGGATCAGGCCAAAGGCCCATCCCATCCAACACTCTGTGTCACACAGTGGCCAGAAATACAAGGTGCCATCAGGAGGTCCACCAGTGGGGCCAGGACACTAGAAGCCCCCTCCCGCTGTTGCCCCCCCCCTCAAGCACCAAGAAGACAGAGCATCACTTGCCCCAGAGCCCCTATCTATACCTTGTGGCTAATAGCCACTGATGGACCTCTGCTCCATATGCTTATCTAATTCCCTCTTGAAGCCGTCCATGCTTGTAGCTGCCACCACTTCCTGTGGCAGTGAATTCCATGTGTTAATCACTCTTTGGGTTAAGAAGGACTTCCTTTTATCCGTTCTAACCCGACCGCTCAGCAATTTCGTGGAGTGCCCACGAGTTCTTGTATTGTGAGAAAGGGAGAAAAGTACCTCTTTCTCTACCTGCTCTTTCCCATGCATAATCTTATAAACCTATAAATGTCCATTAATCAGATTGTTTTGTAACTGAAATGATGCCCTGATTAACTGGACAACGGGTATTTAAAAATAAGTGTTAATGATTTTAATACTAAAACTGTGTGTGGCAGGTAATAGCTGATGGATGGGCAGGGGAGGGATTTCTCATACTACAAGTAAGTAGCAGCAGCATTGTTTTCATGTGGAAATTTGTACAAATGGTCTTAGAAGTGACGATGGATGAATCATAGACATCATTAAAAAAATAAAGATTTCTTTAAATCAGTAGCCCTGTTCCAATACCATCAGCCATGGCTTCATGAGATGATTTCCCTCAACCTTCTTTCTGGTTGGAAAATAGGACTATTGGTGACTTACCTCACAGGGTAGGATAAAGATCGTAGGTGTTTTGATTATTAAGAGTGCTGTACATAAGAAGCCACAAGTTTTAACCAGCAAAACTGCCAGAGGAGGAAGAAGGGCATGACAAGAGAAGGGCTGGGCCTCGGGCTGCCAGGTCCCCCCCCCCTTCCCGGCCACTGGCGGGGGCTGCCAGATCCAGGTTGGGAAACTCCTGGAGATTGGGAGGAGGCGCTTCAGGAGAACAGGGACCTCAGTGGAACACAATGCCATAGAGCCGACCCTCCAAAACATCCCTTTTCTCCAAGGGAACTGATCTCTGCAGTCTGGAGAGGAGCTGTAATTCCAGGGGATCCCCAGGTCCCACCTGGAGGCTGGCATCCCTAGGTGGGCCAGAGCACTTTAAGAGCACGGGAAGGCACAGCGGGGGGCATCTTCCTGCTGCCTATTAAGGAATCGTTCAATTGCTGGAGTTCCCAGTGTGCCGTGGTGCTGTCAGCTGTGCCTTGGAGAGCCTCTCTGAAGCCCTGCATTGTGGGGTCTGGGAATCTCCAGACTCTAAGGGGACCCTCGTAGGGGGTTCCTGAATCTGGGGGTACCTTTTCTGGGGTGATCCTCTTGGTTGCAGCCGAGAATTGATCGCCCAAAGAGAACCCTGTCAGCCTTGGCGGGAGCGGATGACATTACTCTTATGGCTTTTAGCTATGAGCTCTGAAAGACGTGGATTTTTAGAGTGGAAGCTTTATTTTGCCTGTAACTTTCCAACTTCAAACTCTGAATTATTGCCAAAGATAAACTTTTCTGACCTTTCTAATTGCGGTCCCTGCTGCATTGCTGGAAAGGAACTGGAGGGGAGGGGGAGTGTGGCAGACGACACCTACCCTAAGAGCGGCTTTTGTGCGAATCATGCCTACAGAGATGCGAGTCAAGATAGATGGAATGTTTTTTGGATAATAAATCACTCAGGGGAGGAGAGTGAAAAGAAGAAGATTCGCTATCTGGATGTTGTGTAATGTTGTTGACTATTGCCCTGGATTTATCTTACTGAGAATAAGTACTTTTTTGGCTCTGAAGACATTTTATATTATTCAAGGTGTTTGGATTATAAATTACAACCTAATTCTGTCGAAGGTCCAACATATAACCGACTTTTAACAGCCTTTAAATGGAAACATTTGAAATTGGATTACAAATACAGTCTTAAAAAGAAGCTCTTTCCAGGACTCGGTTCCTGTAACGTTTGTACACTGAAACCTATCATGTGACTCTGTTTAGACTATGATAAGAGCCAGAGGGAGTTGTTGTTGAAGACAATAAACACTACTTTATAACTCTGAAATTTTCCTGCAGCAGAGAACTCTTTTGGAGTCTTCTGCTGCCACCTTTTGGCGATGGGAAGGCTGTGTAGGCTGATTATACCTTTAAAGAATGTTATAGGGTACTGAGTTTCTTGTCTATTATATTAAATAGGCTTTTGTGTTATTAACTGAAATATTTTGGAATACTTTTGAAACACTTGATGTTGTATGATTAATTCTGGTTACGCTGTATTTTACTTGGAATTCAGAAACAGAAATTATTATTGGGTCATTTAAATTGGTTTTGTACTTTTGATACAATGAGAAAGCAAATAAGGAAACATACCCCCCGTCCTCTGTTGCCTGGTCACCTCCTATGCAATCAAAAGCAGTGTGGGGAGTGTATGACAGCACAGGAAGCACTGATTGATATACAAAATAATCTGCAATCTACGTTCCCGTTGGGTCTGGGGCAAATCCAGAATGCCCTGATCCAAGTAACAGAACAAATTAAGAATTTGAGTATAAAAGTCTCAAAACTGAAAGGGAAAAGGAATGATTTTCAAACTCAATTAACAGAAAACAAGCGTATCATACAAGAAATGGCATCTCAAATCAAAACAGTAGACACAAAAACAGAAATGGCAACACAAAGGTTAGATAAGGTGGATGCTCAACAAAGAGTTACTTGGGATTCCCTAATTAAGCTGGAAATGGAAACAGCTGCATACATGTTGAGGTTCCAGAATGTTCCTGAACAGAAGGGAAAAGACTTGACAAAAATACTTGCAGAAGCATTGGCAGAATTTTTGGAAGAAGAATCTGAGGAGATTGCAAGAGAAATTGATTTGATATACAGAGTCAACTCAATCTACACACACACATACAAATACCCTGCCAAGGGAGATCCATGTAAAATTTACAAAACGTCTAGTCAGAGACCGTATTTTGAGAGCAACCCGGAAAAGACACTGAAAATGAAAAATAGAGAGATAAGAATTTTGAAGGAAATCCCATGGAAGATGAGACAGAAAAGGATGGAATATACATGCTTAACTACTAAACTTGCAGCAAATTCAATCTCCTTTAGATGGTTAGTACTGGAAGAGATCCTTTTTATGTTTGAAGGTCAGATATTTAGGATTGACTCAACCCTTAAAGACTTTATGGAGCGACATGGGAGTAAACTGAGAGGTGGAGAGATGAAGAAAGTGGAGGTGAAGAGTGGAATTCCATCAGAGAAAGGAGATGGCTCGACACAGGATTATTCAACAGCATCGGATGAAGAACTTGAACCAGCAGAGAAACTGAATCTGGAATCGAAATCTCAAAGGAAGACAAGAAGAAATAAGGAAGGTAGTAATAAAGGACACGTGTAATGGATGGAACAACAATAAAAATATTTTCAGTTAATATCAATGACCTAAATTCACCAGAGAAGAGAAGGAAAATCTTTAAGCAACTGAAGAAACTAAATGCAGATGTTACCTGTTTACAAGAAACACATTTAAGACCGAAAGATCAATACTAGCTGTCATATAAGAAACTTGGACTTACTTTTGTATCATCAGGTGACGTTAAAAAGAGAGGCATTGTAGCATTTATAAAGGAAGAACCGAAACCTATCTTGATTTTTTCGGCAGAGGATGGGAGGTTGTTGTTGGTTGAAATTAACATTGGAAACAAAAGGATTTTATTAGTAATGATATATACCCCAAATGACCACCAAGGAATTTTTTTTTGACCTTTTAAAATATGTTTTAGCAAGATTTGACTATACTGACATATGTCTACTGGGAGATTTCAATGCAGTCTTTGATTACAACCTGGATAGGAAGACTAATAAGAAGGTTAAGGCCTCCAAAGGACTTCTTCCAAGATCTTTTTTAGAACTAGTTGAATATAAACTAGTTGATGCTTGGAGAGTAAGGAATCCCACGGGGAGAGACTCTACCTTCTATTCTGACAGACACAAATCCTGCACTAGAACTGATATGTGCTGGACTTCAGTAAGCTTCTTACAGGATGTTAAAGATGTCGACATTTTACCCTGATCATATGCAGACCATAACCCTTTGCTGGTGAAAATTAAGAATGCCCCAAGAAAATTTAGGTGGAGATTAAATGTTCAACTGTTGAAAAACATGCAATTTGTGGAGTATATAAAAAAGGAAATTAAGTTATACTTTCAGCAAAATATGAACATGGAAACATTAATGAGAACTGCCTGGGATGCAAGTAAAGCCTATTCTGGAGGACTGGCAATTAGATTCACGGCTAGACGAAGACGAGAGAAGAGGAAACATAACCGAGATATCTTGGCTGCACTGAAGAAAAATGAAGGAGACTTGAAAAGAGATCCTTCACATGAAAATTTAAAATCTAAAATTAAAGCTTAGAAAGGAAAGAGAAAAGAGATTGATCTATTCGCTAAATGACGGGGAGAAGAAGGAGTTATTTCAGAAAGAAGAACTAAAGAAAATATGCAAGCAACACTCTGTGGTTGATACCTAGCTGTCTGCCTCAATTTTAAGCTTGCTATAGTAAGCATAGTCTTTCCTATTCCAGAGGTCTCTGTATGTGAGGTTGTCTGTTATGTAGACTCTGACATCAGTAAAAAAAAAATAAAAAAAATTGTGCAATCTTTTTTATACTCCGCTATATAGGGAAGGGCAAATACCAAAGGAAAAACAAAAGCAATATATATAATCAAGGCCCAACCTGCAAACTTCGTAGTGTGTGAAGAACAGGATTCACAGAGAGATCGCAGGCTGCGGCGCAGCAAGGCGGCTGAGACTTGGGTGAGCTCCCAAGAATCGCCGACATTCCATGCCTTTAGGGGGGTGCTCTGGTTACCCGAGAACCCGCCGACCCTCCCGAAGAGAGAGTCGGTTGCAGGGGAATTGCCCTGGTCTCCTCATGAGCGGTAGCAAGCAGCTGGAAGACTGAGGCTGTCCCGAAGCACGGCGCGGAGCAGCACAGTCATGGAGTCATGACTGTGATAAGCTGTGAACACTCGACTCCGAGAGCCTGAACCTCACCATAACATCGGTGAAGATAAGAACTGATGTGAGTACCAGTAACTGCAACAACTTATCTCCAAAGATATCTTGATCTCGCCCCTTTAAATTTTCCAAAAAGAAAAGAAACGAGACGTGGAGTTCCCCCCCTCCTTCCCCCTCATGAGCGGCTGTCGTGGAAGACTGAGGCTGTCCCGAAGCACGGCGCGGAGCAGCACAGTCATGGAGTCATGACTGTGATAAGCTGTGAACACTCGACTCCGAGAGCCTGAACCTCACCATAACATCGGTGAAGATAAGAACTGATGTGAGTACCAGTAACTGCAACAACTTATCTCCAAAGATATCTTGATCTCGCCCCTTTAAATTTTCCAAAAAGAAAAGAAACGAGACGTGGAGTTCCCCCCCTCCTTCCCCCTCATGAGCGGCTGTCGAGACTGGGAAGTTAAAATCTTTGAAACTATTTAGGGGGGCAAAAAGACTCAATTACTGCTATTTTAACATTTCAATAGACTTAACTGCGATTATTATGTGGAATTGTACTTTTGGATCTGCAATACAACGCCTTCTCCTCCTACTATATGGGATTTAAAAATAAAAGGGACTGCGTTTAACTTTCTTAACATTCTTGTTAAAATAGATTCTGGCTATTTTTGATTGTGTGACTGCTCTCAAGACTGTGTTTTAATATTGAAAATTTACTTAAGAGTGATTGCTTCTGAGAAATATTAAAGAGACTCCATACTGTTTGGTCTATGTGGAAAGATTCTTGGATTTTAACATAGCTACTGAGTCTGGTGTTTTGAATTAGCGACCAGCTCTGCGAGACTCTCTGGGAAAGTAAACAAGAGAGAGCTGACTTTGAGCAACAGACTGGAACTGTGACTCAAGATTAAAATGGAGTTACAAAATAATTACAAAGAAGTAGAGGCGTTAGATGATCCAGATGATGTACAAAATATGCAATTTAACCAGCAATAATTTCTAGAGATGCTTGAGACCACAATTCACCGAGCGATCCAGAATACTTTTCATAGACTGTACAACAAGGAACTGATCTTACAACAGGAAATTGCAAACGAGAAAGAAGACCAGCTGACTGTAATATGCCCAGTTAAGGAGTAGGATTCCAACCAAGATTAACTATTTCATGAAAGACTCTCTGGGAAAGTAAACAAGAGAGAGCTGACTTTGAGCAACAGACTGGAACTGTGACTCAAGATTAAAATGGAGTTACAAAATAATTACAAAGAAGTAGAGGCGTTAGATGATCCAGATGATGTACAAAATATGCAATTTAACCAGCAATAATTTCTAGAGATGCTTGAGACCACAATTCACCGAGCGATCCAGAATACTTTTCATAGACTGTACAACAAGGAACTGATCTTACAACAGGAAATTGCAAACGAGAAAGAAGACCAGCTGACTGTAATATGCCCAGTTAAGGAGTAGGATTCCAACCAAGATTAACTATTTCATGAAACTTTGCTTTCAGACAAAGAACTCATAAGAAGCAATACAAGAGAAGGCAAAAAAAATCATGGGAAGAGCAGTAATTTTTTCAACTCTTGAAATGCCAGAAGAGAGAATACAAGATGAATTGTTATATGGCCTGGCTTTTGCAAACAAAAAGAACATGAAAAACAATACAAGTCAGGAAACTTCACCTAATGGAAGTATGGAACAAACAAGGGAAGAAATAAAGACCACCTTCAGCACATACAAAGAGAAAAGACACCGGCTTATGATCATCATGAAAAATAAAATTCAAAAAAAGAGAGAAATATATAAATACTATAATTAGATTGGCATAAGAAATGTTGATGTATGTCTAATGGTTTGATTTGAGTTATAGCTGGGAATAAAAATAATATAACAGAAAAACATTTAAACATAAATAAAACACATAATTATAAAACAGTAAAGCAAGCACAGAAAGATAATTTGTTCATGTTAAGAAACATGTAATCTACAGCTGTAACTTAATAAGGAAGACATTATGGATCTGGATTTACATACTGGCGTTGATTTTATTATGTGCTGCAAATAGAAATTGCTAACCTTCTCTTCTGTTGTATTACTATCTACATGTTGTTTCCATTAAAGAGCCTAATTGAAACTAACAGTAATTAACAAGATTCTATTAAGAACCTAGCAATGAAATGTTAATGCTTCAGTTTTTTATTGTGATTTATATAACTCCATTACTTTTTAAATATGATTGGTAGAGTGATTTTTGATTCCCTTGCAGTTGAAATATTAGTAAAAGATTATGTTATTAGAGTTATATTAGTTTAATTTACCTAAAATTTATATATAATAGGAAAACAGATGTATAGCGGTGTAAAGAAAACATCGTAAAAAATATATTTGTTAATTTGGTCAAGCTTTAGGTAATTTTTGTCTGTATGTTATGTGTGAGCAAACTGACTAGATACTATTGCAATGTAATACTCTCACCTTTTTCTTTTTCTTTTGAAAACCGAATAAAATATTATCAAAAAAAAGAATAGGGTTCACAGATGGCCTCACATCCAAGTCTCTTCCTCTGAAGCTAAGCAGGGCTTGGCTCTCCTATGATGTCTTAATAGCAGATTTCCTGACCAAAGAAAGAACTGTCCGTGTTCAGCATCTCCTCTGATTGTTGCACTAAGAAAATAGCTAGGAGAAGTAAGCCCAAGTGGAAAGCAATCACGAGGGACAATCTGTCTGCAAGGGAATTGGCGGGGAATAATCTTAAAACCTGATACTGAGTAGCCGGGGGGGGGGGAGTGTCTTGCATGACGCATTTGTCAAGCAAATTTGCACAGCTGGCTGCGGCATCACACAGCCCTTTCTGTAACCTAGAGTTGCATGACACATACCTGAAGGGTTTCAAAGAACATCTCTCTCTCATCCACAGTCAATTTGAAGGTGTTGGGCTGGGGAGCCCCAAAGAAGACAATATGTTCATACTGGAAAGTTTCCAGAGGCTTTGGGTCCCCCCGTTTGTACACAGACACATTCTCCGTGCTGACGCTGAGCCAGAGATCATTTGGGAAGCCACCTTCCTTACACTGCAAGAAAGAAGTCAAAAGAGTTAGCAGAAGGAGAAAGTGCAACTGGGAAAGTACTGGGTTGGAGGCAAAGACTGAGTGAGTAGGTGGGATGTGTACAAGCAGCTCAGCCCCCCCCCTTCCTTTTCTATCCAGTGGAATAAAAGTGAATTTATTTTTTAACAGTTAAGGTAGGCTATTGAATGAGAGCCAAACAGCAGAATTTCCAGGCCTGGGACTCCTGCAAAGGCCTTTGTAAAAAAACTTGAGACATGCCTGCAGCTAGGTGGTGGTGGGGGGCTCGGTTTCACGTGGGCAAAGTTTGAAGCTGCAGCCGAGCAGGAGGAGAGGGAGAGGGGCGACCTCACTGGGTCTTCCTGCTTCCGCAGCCGGCTTCTCAAAGCCCCCCCCTCCTGCTCGGCCACAGCCAGAAGCAGGAAGACCCCCCTCTTTTTATGGCTCACGCACTCTCTTTCCACACCCCAGAATGTACTCCCTGGTGGGCAGCTTGCCACTTCTGCAGAGCGGCCTTAAGGAACGCCTGGCCTCCCAGCCCAGGTCCTCCCACCAAGGCTGACTCTCAGTGCCACTTCCTGGCTGAGACGCTTCCCAAGGGTGCTGCTTCGCCATTCCTTGAAGGCTGTTTGCAGGGCAGACCTTCCAAGGTGAGCCTGCTAGATTGTGGAGCTAGATTGTGGAGCGTTTCATCTAGAAGGAAGGAAGGCTTTTTTGACCCCTGCTGGCTCTCTCTCAATTATATTACAACTAATTAGATTCTTTGCGGCCCCCCCCCCCTCCGAAAATTTCCTAGCTATGGGGCTGACTTGAGGTCCACAGATGAAACCACACAGGACAGAATATGGGGATGGGGACAGCTGATGGATCAAAACGTAAGCTTCTTCCCACCCAATAAGTTGCCTCCTACCTAAACTGTGTCCATCCCAGCTCTCCCACACTTTCTCCAGCCAAAGCATTGCTGCACTGAAGAAGCACTTGGTGAACGATGTCAATGGGGAGGGGAAGCGCCTGAGTGTCAGGCATCAGGCTTGTGGGTAGTGCGGGAGAAGCATCTCTTTGACATGGACTGCAGTAAGTCTGTGTCTTGTACCACATAAAGAAGGAACAATGTTCCCAAATGTCAGGTACTTTTATTGCACTTAAGCAAGGAGAATCGACTGGTTGGATTTTGTGCATACCCTGTTATCGGCCCCTGTGAGCGCAATTATTGTTATTTTTATCTTTATCTCAGTGATGACGTATGATACGCCATGAGCACAAATGATTATATTTGGAAACATTGCATTTGTTTTGGGTTGTGGGTTGTGGACCACCAACTCATTATAGATAAGAACATAAGAACATAAGAGATGCCAATGTTGGATCATGCCAAAGGCCCATCCAGTCCAACACTCTATATCCCACAGTGGCCAGAAATACCAGTGCCATCAGGAGGTCCAGCAGTGGGGCCAGGACATTAGAAGCCCTCCCACTGTTGACCCCCCCCTCAAGCACCAAGATGACAGAGCATCACTTGCCCCAGAGTCCCTATCTATACCTTGTGGCTGATAGCCACTGATGGACCTCTGCTCCATATGCTTATCTAATTCCCTTTTGAAGCCGTCCATGCTTGTAGCCGCCACCACTTCCTGTGGCAGTGAATTCCAAGTGTTAATCATTCTTTGGGTGAAGAAGTACTTCCTTTTATCCGTTCTAACCCGACCGCTCAGCAATTTCATGGAGTGCCCACGGGTTCTTGTATTGTGAGAAAGGGAGAAAAGTACCTCTTTCTCTACCTGCTCTTTCCCATGCATAATCTTATAAACCTCAATCATGTCACGCCTCAGTCGTCGTTTCTCCAAGCTAAAGAGCCCTAAGCGCCTTAACCTTTCCTCATAGGGAAAGTGTTCCAACCCTTTTATCATTCGAGTTGCTCTTTTCTGCACTTTTTCCAAAGCTATAATATCCTTTTTAAGGTGTGGTGACCAGAATTGCACACAGTATTCCAGATGAGGTCGCACCATTGATTTATATAGCGGCATTATGATATTGGCTGATCTGTTTACAATACCCTTCCTAATAATCCCCAGCATAGCATTGGCCTTCTTTATTGCAGTCACACACTGTCTCGACATTTTCAGTGAGTTATCTACTACAACTCCAAGATCTCTCTCTTGATCAGTCTCTGCCAGTTCAGACCCCATCAACGTGTATTTATAGTTAGGATTTTTGGCTCCAATGTGCATCACCTTGCACTTGGCCACATTGAACCCCATTTGCCATGTTGACGCCCACTCGCCCATCCTTGACAGATCCCTTTGGAGTGCCTCACAATCCTCACTGGTTTTCACCACCCTGAACAACTTCGTATCATCCGCAAATTTAGCCACTTCACTGCTTACTCCCAACTCCAAATCATTAATGAACAAGTTAAAAAGCAGTGGACCAAGTACTGATCCCTGTGGTACCCCACTGCTTACACCCCTCCACTGGGAGAACTGCCCATTTATACTCACTCTCTGTTTTCTATTAATTAGCCAGTTTTTGATCCATAAAAGGACTTGTCCTTTTATCCCATGATTTTTGAGCTTACTTAGGAGCCTTTGATGAGGAACTTTATCAAAAGCTTTCTGGAAGTCAAGGTAAACAATATCTATTGGATCCCCCTTGTCCACATGTTTGTTCACCCCCTCAAAGAACATTAACAGGTTAGTGAGACAAGATCTTCCCTTACAGAACCCATGTTGAGTCTGCCTCAATAGGTTTTGTTCATCTATGTGCCTACTAATTCTTTCCTTAATAATGGTTTCCACCAATTTACCCGGTATCGACGTCAGACTGACTGGCCTGTAATTTCCCGGATCTCCTCTGGAACCCTTTTTAAAGATGGGAGTGACATTAGCTACCTTCCAGTCCTCAGGAATGGAGGCTGATTTTAAGGAGAGATTACATATTTTTGTCAGGAGATCCACAAGTTCACAATTGAGTTCTTTCAGAACTCTCGGATGTATGCCATCTGGGCCTGGTGATTTATCAGTTTTTAAGTTGTCTATCAGTTTTAGGACCTCCTCTCTCGTCACCTCAATCTGACTCAGGTCTTTCAACACCCCTCCTGAAATCAGTGGTTCTGGAGTGGGCAAGCACTTCTCATCTTCCACAGTGAAGACGGAGGCAAAAAATGCATTTAGCTTCTCAGCCATTTCCCTATCATCCTTCAATACTCCTTTTACCCCTTGGTCGTCCAAGGGCCCCACTGCCTCCCTGGCTGGTTTCCTTCTTCTAATGTATTTGAAGAAAGTTTTATTGTTGGTCTTTACATTTTTTGCTATATGCTCCTCATATTCCCTTTTTGCCTGCCTGACCACAGACTTGCATTTTATTTGCCATAGCCTGCGTTCTGTTTTATCAGCCTCACTGTGACATAGTTTATTTGTAATTTAAATACTTGCTTAATATATCCTATACTCAGTCATTTCAAGTGTATTTACTCTTTGATGGTCTTCCCTTGGTGTTTTCCTGCTGTTTCCTGCTATTACACACGGGATCCCTGTCTTGTCTGCTACTATTAACTAATTAAGCATGACTTCCTCCAGATCAGGGCCCAAGGATGACCCTTGTGGTTCCTCTCTCACCTCGACATCAAAGAGGGTGGAGCCATAGCCTGGCCATTCCTTCATGATGGCCATGTAAGCCACCATGGCCTGCTGCTGGGGCAGCCCTTGAAGTTTGCTCCACTTCTCTGCTACGCTGGCTCGCGCCGCCGACAGCTCCTCTTTCACCCACATCTCCATCATCTGTTCCTCCTCCACTTTCTGCTTCTTCACTGAGCCTGCCTTGAAGCTGCGCTTCAGTGTGCCCTCCAGGAAACTGGTCCGCCTTCTCTCCAGGGCGTGGCTGCTGGGGCCACTGCTGCTCTTCATGGACTGCAGGATCCTGGACTTCAGCCGGTTTACTGGGTAGACGCTGTCAAGCGACCAGGGGATTCTGGAGCAGTCCCCGTGTAGGTATTGCAGCCTTAGTGCAGCCAGGTGTAGCAGTGTCTCCTCCGAGCCAGGGAAGTGGCCGTCAGTGAGACTTTCATGAGCCTGTAAACATCAGCCGGAACAGTCATTCACAGGTTTAGATAAAGTTTCTATACTGAAGTTACTTGTTGCCAAGACTGGTTTGGCAATGGTGGCACTTGTCCAACCATAGTATTTTCTCCCTACCAGACTGAAAGTATGTAACATAACATGAACTTGTGGCCAAATGTGATGGACATTGTGAATATATGATAACAGCTATGAGACTAAATCTACAAAGCCAGTGCAACATCTTAACTCCAATGACAGCCAAAGTCTTTCAAGAAAATATCAGCTAGTCAGAGAAAAGGGAAGTTTGCCAAATGTGAAATGGGGTCTTCGTTTTCATTTTTCCAGGTTAAAATAGCCAAGATTTTTATTCCTGGCTCATTGTTGTCATGACATCTAATGGTAAACCTGCTGGTCTTTGTTTGAATGATGGAAACAGTAAAATGGGTCCCATCTGAACTCCTGGGAATGCAGAAAAATACAACTATGTAAATTAACCGAAAGAAGAAAGAAGGAAACCTAAACACCAGCCTGATGTGAACTGAAAATGCTCCCGAGGGGACAGAACATTGAAAGTAACTGAGAGTCTAAGGGAAAAGGGGGTGGAGGAGAAAAGAAATCAGCCTGCTCACGCCCATACAGAAACTCAGAGAGGCAGATGTGGAGGGGAAGGTGGGATTTTTAAATTGTTTCTCCCCCTCCTGCAATTCCTCACAAGCCTCGAGCAGTTTATACTGTACTATACCTTGTGTTTCCAACAGATCCACAGAATGCAGGGTGCAGAAGAGAGCGACGAGGATGATCAGGGGTCTGGAGACCGAGCCCTATGAGGAAAGGCTGAGGGCCCTGGGAATGTTTAGTTTGGAGAAGAGGAGACAGGGGGGACATGATGGCCCTCTTTAAATATTTGAAAGGCTGTCATTGGGAGGAGGGCAAGGAGCTGTTCCAGTTGGCAGCAGAGGACAGGACCCAAAGCAACGTGTTTAAATTACATGCAGAAAGGGATCGGCTGGATATTAGGAAAAACTTTTTTCCTAATCAGGTGGAATCAGCTGCTGAGGGAGGTGGGTGAGCTCCCCTTCACTGACAGCTTTCCAGAAGAGGCTGGATGAATATTTGTCAGAGATGCTTCAGGCTGGTCCTGCATTGGGCAGGGGGTCTGTATGGCCCCTTCCAACTCTATGATTCTATGAATTTCTTATTCGCTACATAAAGTTTCACAGTAGGCATTTATTTACACAGTTGTTATGGCAACTTATCACCCTCTCACTGGGACTGGAGTGGGTTACGTTCATGCTGATTGGACCTTTATCATTTGACAGATTTCTGCAGGGGTCATTTCATAGAAAAAGAGCTGCAGGAGCTAATTAGCATATGGTATGCTAATGAGCTATGCTATTAGCATATGCCATGTCCCCTGACATCACTGGAAGTGATGTCAGAAGGGGAAGCAAAAGGGGGGGAGGCATCTTCAAAAGCCTCCCCTTCCCTTCCCCAGCTGGCCTGCCCGGGGGGGGGGGGAGTGAAGAAAGTAGGGGTTTAAAGTTTAAAAAGAGAGGAGAGAGGGAAAGAAAGAAAGGAGGAGGGAAAGAAAGAGAGAAGGGAAGAAGGAGGGAAAGAAAAAACAGAAAAACAGAAAAGAAAAAACAGAAAAGAAGGTGGGAAAGAAAGAAAGAGAGAAGGGAAGAAGGAGGGGAAGAGGAAAAGGAAAGGAGGAAAAGAGGAAGGAAGGAAGAGAAGGGAAAGAGAAAGAAAAGGAGGGAAAGGAAAGGAGGGAAAGATGGCAGAGATGGAGGGAGGGAGAGAGGCCCAGGCCCACCCCCCCATCAAGCCCCCGCCACCCCCACGGATCCCTTACTTACCATTTCGGCGCAGGCCAGGGAAGCCGGCAGCGGGGCTCTCCAGGCCTCCCCTGAGCCGCAGCGCTTCTGCTTGGGCCCGGGGGACCCGGCTGCGGGGCTCTCTGGGCCTCCCCCCAGCCATAGTGCTTTTGCGCAAGCCTGGGGGACCTGGCAGCAGGGCTCTCTGGGCCTCCCCCCAGCCCCCATGCTTTGGCGTAGGCCTGAGGAAGCCGGATGCGGGGCTCTTCGGGCCTTCCCCAGGCCGCAGTGCTTCAGCGTGAGGAGCTGGGGGTGGGGCTTGTCGCTGCCACCATTTGCACTGTCTCCTGGGCTGCCAGAGCAGCGCTCCAGCGCACTCTGGCCCCAAAAGACCCCTGGTGGTGACACTACTATGGTCTTATACAGCTTGACCGCTTAGGCTCACTTTATTTTTTTAAAGAAGAAAAAAAACAGTTCTTTCTTCTCTTTACACTCAGGGTATATAGCAACACCTCCCATTTAAGTGACCATATATCTAACCAGTAGTTCTGGCCTGTGAAAACCTTGGCCACTATAAATTTTTCAGGAGCCACAAGACTGTTGCTTTTGCTGCACTGGCTCCCATGGCTACCCCTCTGAGATGACACCGTAACATCTGCATGTAGTCCTCTCTGTCAAGATGGGCAGAACTCTTGCTTTCATCCTATTAACATGTCACTGTGGACGAAGACTTCTCATCATGGCCTGGCCCATCCAGCCACCTACCTTGAAGGGCTTACCTGCTCAAACATGAAGGCAAACTCCACTCCCTCTTTTGGAACATTTTCCACATCCAGGAAGCAATACAGTTTGAAATACAGCTGCCAGTGCCCCCCCTCCTCCTCCTCTTCGGTGGACCCAGCAAGCCTGAAAAGTGGGAGAGAATCTGATGATCGTCTTGATCATGGATCAGTTAAAAGTTGGAGTACATGTTGCACTGGCCTCATGAAAGCAGCATTCCTGTGGCAAGTTCTCCCCTCCCCCTCCTTCTAACATCTGGGAAGATTCAGCATGTAGCCCAGCATCACCAGTCTGGGTGTTTCCCTATCCCTGCAAGAAGCAGCCAATTACACGGACGGGGGCAGGGAACCTCATCATGGGGCAGTGCCGTGCTACATGCCAGGTACCTTTAGCATTTCCAGGCCCAGGGTCTGTTAAGCTGCAAGCATGACGTGTAGGAGTCATGTGACAGGAAGAGGGGAGCCAAAACTATAATCTGGTGTCAAGGCCAGAACTATGGGCAGCAGACCAAGAAAGATGCAGAAGAAGCTGAGGGGAACAATCATGGAGGAAGTCCTCTCCACCACGGAGTGACCTTGCCTTGCCATCCTGCTTTTCCTCTCAGTGTGCATGTAAAGTGGAACAGGAGCCACAGTGCCCTTGCTCTCTTCCACATGCGCATGAGCAGCAGGTCCTTCCAAAAGGCAGCCAAAACATTACAGCTCTCTAGAGGAGTTCATGACCCAGCAGCTGAAACTCCACAACCCACCTGTCAGGAAGCTGCCAAATGTTCTTATTGTTCCTATACGCATCCTGGTACCTGAATTTAGCAACACACCTGTCTTTATATTTCCCCCCCTCCCTGGACATCCGCTCATATAACCATGCGCATATAGTCATAGTGGTTGCATTCTTGTTAGTCTACGCTAGCCATGCCTGCTGTAACGTTATCATTTCCAAGGTCACAGGTGGTCATGAGAAGAAGTCTGCTTTGCTTTGCTTTGCTTTGCATGAGTAGAAACTGTGGGAAGCGTTTGGTAGTGATAACACAGTTGCCGTTGCTTTCTCAGGGGTTTGGGCGCGTAAACTGCTTTTTGGGCGCGAGCGGGAACCATGTCTATTGGCTGTATTGATTATGAATTTGCTTTAACCTTCCCAGCTCAATGATCTTGCGTTATTCTGAACAGTGATTCTGTTCAGTGACTCATGGCTTCAATAAAGTAATTCCTTTCAAAAATAATAATAATAATAAAAAAAAATAAAATAAAATAATTCCTTTCTATAAGTGTGTACTCCATTGAATTGCTGTGGGACCTGACACCACCTCAGGGTCCCACCTCATGGGTTGAAGGCCACTGTCCTAAAGCTTTCAACAGGAATGATGAAAAGTCTCCACAAGCATTCTATTTTTGGAGGCATCTCTTGATGGGCATAATATATAGCCCATCTCTAAGGAGATCATGAGACAGAATTAACTGAAAGACACCACCACTTGCAATATCCAGATAGACTGGAAAGGAACTTAAAAAAAAAGGTGAAGAGGAAAAGAAGGGTCAAAGGAGAGAGAGAACTCCTGGAGAACGCCAAAGCTAGTTTGCTCTGTAGAAATCAACTGACCTCCCGCGCAAGTCATACAGTCAAAAATTCTAACAACAAATTCTGCTGGAGAACAAAGGAGGAATAATCTCACATGCTGGAGATCCTCCTCCATGGAAAGAGAATGGTCCTTCACAAAGGGATTTATTGAGGAGAGCTCAGGATCACAAACCAAGATCCAGAGGCCTCCGGGCCTTTCAAAACTCAGTGTTTTGTTGACTGATCAAACAGACAAGCATATCTCACAGCTGTGGAAAGCTGCACCATCCTGCTCACTACCTCAGGTTCTAGTTCCAGTTTTCTGGCACCCAATGTGGCCCTGGTCTTTGAATAAGAGACCCAGAAGATGGGACCTGAGCCGGGCCCAGGTATTTGGATACTTGGACAGGTCTAGAAAAAGCTGCCACAGAGACCCAAACACTAAGGCTGTATTTGCACTACACTGCAATTTGCGAACTATGCCAAGGTCTTTTGATTCCGGCTGTGCCCTACGATGCAGGTCTAAGGATGAGAAACACTCCTGTAAAGGGACCTACCTCTCAAACTTGGCCAAGACATCAGCCACAGTCACCCGACTCTCAATTGCCTTGTCCACATGCTTGTTGCGTTCAAAGAGGGCAAACATGTTCCGACTGTCTTCCATAGCCAGTCCTCGGATCAGCTTCTCCACCACCTGCCAAGAGAAGAAAAGAGCACCACAAAGTTATGCAGACCAATGGCGGAAAAACATACAGGGAGCCTATAGCTGAGGCTGGACAGGGCAGGAGATGGACAGAGAGAGCTGCCCCTCCACACCCTGTGCTTTCCCCCAGCATGGGCCAGCAGAAAAAAATTAAAAAATTCCTTCCTTCCTTCGTCCTTGGATACACAGGAAAGAAATGAAGATGAGCCAAAAAGGGCCCGAATTATGATAAGGACACCAAGCAGCTACGCCCACATCCACCCCCCCACACACACACCATCAGTCTTCTGTTTTTACCTCTCCTGCACTGGTATGGGAATTGATGGTGATCTGACAAGAGCCCCCTCCGTGGCAGTAAACTGTCGTCGTCATTTCCTCCCGTGTAATTAGGGCCTGTATCTCTTCCTGGGAGGGGACAAATTCCCTGCTTTTGGTTCTCTTCAGCGAATCACTGATGAATTGAGAATACCGATCTATTTCTGTGCCTGGGAAGAGGTCTTTTACTCTGGTTGGGAAAAAGATAAAAGCCATTATTGTCCTCCTGTGTGCTGACAGACAAACTTTGAACCAGAATCTTGTGTCGTACATAGAGCACTGGAGAGAGGCTAAAGCCCAAACCTAGGGAGATGATGCCACACGTTTAAATAAATTATACTAAATTTAGTCATCTCTCATCAGAAGAGGTTTAAGATTTTCTGGTCCCAGGCTGACATTTACATCCAGTTCCCTCTAGAATCCCAAGGTCAAGTATAATGAGAGGGGTAAAAAAAATGGTGGGGTTTTTTTTGCAATGAAAAAGCAGTAAAAAAGAGGGGAGGATCCTTCCATGGACCTGTTCAGTAACTGATCCTGTTTAACGTCTTCATAAGTGACTTGGAGTGTAGAGAAGGGCTACGGAGGTCGTTATGCCTGTACAGTGTTCCCTCTCTCACCTTCTGAGATGGAACTTGAGGTAGCGCAGGATTCCCCTGCTGGGCAGGAAAGTGCAACTCATGCAGGTCATCAGCTGCCAGTGGTGAAGGTTCCCAGGGCTGCTGGGCTGTGGCACGTGGTTGGTCTGCTTGATCAGCTGGCAATAGACCTCGTCACGGAGGGGCCTGAGGTCCTGGCAGGTCTGCAAGATGCCCTGGATGATGGGGATGGGGTCAGACACCGTCTCAATCTCCTGCAGGGAGTTAAAGATCTTCATAGCTTCATCTTGGAGGCTGCTGTAGCCCTTCTCTTGCTGCACTGTTAAGGGGAGAGGAAGCGTACATAGAAGATGGGGAGAACATCAGTCTTGCACTGAGAACTCCTCAGATAAACACCCCAAGAAGCAAGCTGGCAGGACGAGAACCAATCCTACCGTGTATTCTGGTCCTCAGAAACTCATGAAGGCATTGTTTGGCCAAAACCTTTAGCGTGAACCATCCCAATTCTTACATTTGGGAAAGAAGCAACACAATAAATACCCTTGGTAATGAAAGGTATTCCAGGTGGTCAAGAGGAGAAACTTACCCATTGGTGTCAAGCAAGAAAATGTAACAACCAACATGTTATAGGGATCCAAAAGCAGAATTTCCATACCAAAGATACTCCATTCACCTTTCCTGCAATTTTGTCTTTCTCCATTACACAGAGAAGAAAGGAAAATTGTCTCATAATTTAGGATAATTTTTACTCGCGGAAAAATCTAATGGGAAAGAGGTCCATTCTGAAAAGTGGATTCTGCATGTGTGGGTTGCCCCGACAATCATGTAGCAAGCTGGCTGGAGTGGCCGAGCCAGTCACTGGGCAAGCCACAGCTTTGGTGCCGGGAGAATGGGTACCTGTCCCCATGGGCGCATGCCTCCCAAGTGTCTGTGGCCTAGACGTCTCGTGGAGGGGGAGGGGGGAGAGTCAGGACTCAACTTGCAAGACCTGATTTCCGTGCATTTAGGGATCTACGCGCCTGGACCTTGGGATCTGGCTGAGGCACCCCAGCACGAGTGTGGGAAGGAGGAGGAGGAGGAGGAAGATGAGAACGCTTCACCCTCCTCTCCTCCTCTCTAGCTGAGGCCTTGAGCTGCACTAGGGATAAGGGGAAAGCAACTCGTACTAGGGCCTCCAGTAGTCATGGCACTTGACAGTCTCCAAAACCTCCGACAAGATATCTTCTCATAAATGCAATCATTGATAAAAGCCAACTGAGGACAGCGGCTGAACTAATTTGTCAGTTAAGAGTGTTCGTCTCAGGAATGTTACAGAAATGTCTCTTTCGGCAGCTCAGTAATCGCTACAGGCCTATGGCACATGCTCCCTCAGAACTGTGCAGCTTAGAAATAAACATTTAGGAAATCTCTCTGAGCTTACAAAGGGGTTCTCTTCCACTAGCCTTCCTTTTATTTTTGTAAGGTACTTGATCTTACCTTACTGTGAAAGACAGAGGGAGAACAAGCAGAGCCAGAGAGCATGTCTATATATCCTTTTTTAAGCAGGAAGCTTAGATAGACATGCGTTTTTCTCTCTCCCTCCCACTTGAATTCAAACCTCTAACATGACACATGCTCCTATGTTGTTTTATAATCTATTATGAATGTATACTGCTTGTCAGTTCTTGGAAGCCGCCCTGAGCCTGCCTAGCGGGGAGGGCGGGGTAAAAGTGAAACAAACAAACAAACAAATAAATAAACTCCAAAGCCACTTACAGTTGATCCCAATGTCTCCATAGGGCAGTGGTAACAACGGGGAGTGCAGGGGATGCTGCGTGTATCTCAGGATGGGATTCCTCCAGTAGGTCTGCTCCACTACTTCAGGATTCATGCTGTTCTCCTGAATAGAAAGGCAGATGTGTCTTCAGGTGGGCTGCCTTTTTCTGCCACAAACACCACTATCAGTATTAAGCAAACACTTTTCCATTCAGAGGACTTCAGATAAGTTAATTGTATTTGATACAGAATGTTTACTGACAAAAAGATCTGTAAGATCGGCATATAATGAATTTTGGTCATCAAATAAATTGGGGAAATAACTTCCATGACCAAAATAAACTTTATCAAGAACTCACACTTTTAAAAAAACCTATCAAAAGAACCGGGCCAATCCATTACAAACACTAAAATATAATAATAATAATAATAATAATAATAATAATAATAATAATAATAATACCTTCTGGCAAGTAGTAATATCTCATTTGAGCAACAGAGCAGATTCTATTAACTCAAACATTTCTTCTGTAACCTGGTTCACCTACTATAGTTCGATTTTTGCTGCTCCTGACAATTCTCCACTGGATTTTGATAGTATTGATTTAGATGGTGTTCCTAGCTGGCGGCTGGTAAATCCAGAGGAACTGCTTGAACTAACTGCTGAACTTAAATCACCAGGCCCAGATGGGATCCCAGCTGAATGTCAGCGAGGCCTCTCTCGAGCCCTGGCTGCCATGGGAGTGGCTCTGGAATGTTAACTTCCTTTTCTTCTCAGTTTCCATTATCTCTGTCTGACCTTCAGTGCCTGGTACAGTATTTCTCTTGGGGAAAGTGACCTGTTACTTTGGCGGGCTTCTACCTGGCCTCTGATTGGCCCTAGGCCATCAGGGGGTCTCCTTGAATAATGTATAACTGTTTGCTTCGTGTGTTTTATGTTAGTTCTAACACGAAATGGTTAAGATATCTGCATACTCTCATATTCTCAATAAACTTCTTTGAATGAAAGCTATTGGGAACTGATTGCTGCAGGAGTCTGACAAAGTGTTAGAACTCCTTACAGTTCCTGCCTGGACTTGTACCCAACCATGACTGCCGGTGATACCGGGAGCGTTCCGGTTACCACCACTGAGGAGGAACCGACTCCCACCATGACTGTGACAACCACGACAGCGGGTGGTGATGCCGGTGGGGATACTGGTCAATTGGGAAGATTCTGGCAAGAATCCTATTCCTGGTCGTATGCCCTGGGCTGCACCGAAGCAGCTGGGCGATAACTCCCGACCCAAGACTGTCTGCCTATAGCCAACACTACGGTAGCCGCTACCCAGAAGAGTATGGGAAAGACTACGGAAAAGCGGCTAAGAGTGAGGAAATGCAAGTTGAGCGGGTGTGGCAAGAACTTATGGAGCAACATGAGGAATTATGCCGGGACATGCAAGAGATGGTGTTTGACGTCCCCCAGCTCATTGCAGATGCAGTGAAGCATGAAATGCATGCCGTCCTGCCGGACGAGGATGGAGGAAAAGGGCAAGACCAGCTGCGCAACAGGGCACAGGCTAAAGATCAGGTGGTAAGCATACCAGTTCCCATTAATCCTCTGGGGGGGCCAGGCGATCAGCAGCAGGTTAGGGCGCTGGGACCCCTGTGCCACTGGCGCCGGCACCCAGACCCAAACAGCCCTGTGAAATGTTGGATGCCACCTTTGATGGAGACCCTGACAAACTGTCCTTCTTCCTGCTGCAGGTGCACACGTTCTTGAGGGACTGGTAGGTAGGTAGAAAATGTATTGTATATGGCCATAGGCCTTTACAATTGAGAGTCGTTAGAGATAAAATGCAATTACAGATATAAAGATATAGTACCTCACTAAAATATAGTAATATAATACATATTTATGTGGTCCCTGCAAAGACAATATGAAGACCCCTTGGAATTGGAGAAGGTGCGAACCTGCCTGCGAGCCTTGCGACAAGGAAATAAGATGGTCCATGAATTTCCGGATGAGTTCAAGATGTATGCGGCTAAGGGGCAGGGATGGCCTGAAGAAGTCCTGATTGAACAGTATCATATTGGGTTAAATCACCAGATACTGGAGAAGGTCCATCAACCCAATGACTTTAGCTGGGTGGATCTGTGAAGCCAGCAATGCAGAGAACCGACTCAAGCTGATTAAAATGCACCTCCCTAGGCCAGCCCCAAAGACACCGGGGGGGGGTGAGGGGAAAGGCCCACGATCCAAGCCTAAAGAGCCCATGAAAGAGTGGTGTATGAAGCAAGGGGTGTGCCTAGACTGCGGGGCTCCGGAGCACAACACTGCCTTTTCAGGGGGGCCCTTGTTTATCTAGATGATATCTTATTATACTCCCCCGACAAGAAATCACATGTGAAATTAGTGAGGGAGGTGCTGCAAACACTGTATGAGAATAAACTGTTTGCGAAGCTGTCCAAGTGCGAATTCCACAGCACAGAGGTGGATTTTTTGGGCTATCACATCTCTCCCAGAGGTTTGGAAATGGACCCAGCTAAGGTCAGAGATGTCCTGGGATGGGAGGCACCTAGAACCTGATGCCAGCTCCAATCCTTCCTTGGGTTTGTGAACTTTTATAGGGCCTTCATCTCAAACTTTGCCCAAGTCAGTCTACCCCTCACGGACCTCCTGAAAACCAAGGGAAAGGGCCTGGAGAGCACCAAGCCAGGCGCCCGGCTGCTCTGGATTACAGAGTGTCAGGAGTCATTTGACCGCCTCAAGGCACTGTTCACTTCGGAGTCCATGTTAGCTCATCCCGATGAAAACAAGAAATTTATTGTACAAGTAGACGGCTCGGATGTGGTGATGGGGGGGGCGATCTTGCAAGAGGGGGCTGATGGCAAATTACACCCTCTTGCTTACGTATCCCGCAAGTTCAATTCGACTGAACGCAACTGGTCAGTGTGGAATAAGAAAGCTGGGGCGATTAAGCTAGCACTCTCCACGTGGAGGCATTGGCTGGAGGGTGCCAGGGTGCCGTTTGAGGTGTGGACAGACCATAAGAACTTAGAGGCGTTGCGCACCCCTCATAGCCTGAATGGTAAACAAGTGCGCTGGGCAGAGTTCTTCTATAAGTTCCACTTCACCCTCCATCATTTTCCCGGGAAGTCTAACTCCCTAGTGGACGCCCTCTCGTCCCTCCCCCAACACAACAGCCAAAGGGAGAGCATCATTGACTCTATGTTCACACGACTGTTGGTACAAAGGGCATAGACTGTTTGTCCCCATTCCCGGTGACCCTTGTGCTGAATGATGTGACTTGAACTTGCCTTGCCTAAAAATCTGAGACATTTGCATCCTGTCTTTCATCACAGCCTTCTCAAACAGGACCCGGGGCCGAACGCCTGGAGGCCGAATCGACCGTGCCCCCCCCCCCCCACGCCAGAT